CTTATTTGAAATCGGCAATGACTTAGTTGCCAATTTAATAGAATTGTTACATAATTGTGAATTGTTTTTTTGTGTTATTTTATCGTCATTAATTTCAATCTAGAAGGTTATTTAAATGAAGATAACTAATAAGAATGTCATGAGCTAGTCCATATGAATGTGGTTTTAGACCTAGTTCTTTAAGATTAAACTGTTTTTTTAATTAACTTAATATCCTTACCGGTTTCTTTGCTATATTTGATTTAGATATATCTTTATTATTCAACATGCCTGAGCAAATATTGTTTTTATTATTTTATTGTTTTTTATAAGTATCTTAATCATTGAAATTTTATTAGAGTTATTAATGGGTTACGTTCGTTGAGGTTATTAAGTTGAAGAACAAAGGGAAGAAACCAAAGCAGTAATTATTAGGCTGGCCAAACATATAATCTGCTAAAATCTTAACTTTGATATTCCTCAATTCTGTGAAGCCCGAAGTCAACTACCATAAACCTGACATATGATGTATATAGATAAATAGTATTCGTTTTAAAAAGCTGTCCGATTTCTTGATTTACCTCTGGTTTATTTTTATTTTTGAAGCTGAGAATGCTTGGCATCAAATGGAATCGGCGTTACAGCTTTAAAACCTCTTTCTCAAATTTGTCTTCATTATATTGCCATATTACTTAGCATAAAACTCTAAGGTCATTGTTTTAACTTTGGAGAAGCAATTAAGGTATGTGGTTGTCGTGATGCCGATAAAATTCCCAATTCCCCAGAGTTTAGGTTCCAGAGCTGAGTAACTTCGGCAATTTGTCTTCCATTCACGTACTATCTTTATAAATATGTGGACACACGCACCCCACCCCGACACCTCGTTGAGACGAAGTACGGAAATCAGTCCGGAGGTGGCATGATTTTCAAGGCCGGTAACATAGCTAGCCGTTCAACGACTCAGTTGGCCAGATGGCAATCCATACGTATAGTGGATAGGTAGGGATGATGAACTGTGTTCTAGAAGTGACACATTTTTTTAAAGTTCCACCATTCACATTTTTCGAATCGGTATTTTCACCCTCAATGATTGCTATCCAGTAAAAATTGCGCCAACACCGGAAAAAAGCATTAAATTATCTTTATCAATTCGTCTCTTTTTTTACTTTACATACACTCAAGCGTTCGCATTCAGTTTGACACAGAATGCAAAAAAGACTAAACAGAAAAAAATGAATTTGGCGGGGCATGGAGATTAGAGACAGCAAAATGAAAGGCCCGACATAAGACAGAAAGGATGAAGCTGAACTTTAAGGGATTACAGTGTTTTCCAAGATTGAGGGGATGTTGTTTAATGGTCACGAGCAGGAGTATCAAAGTTGGAAGCATTTCATGAAAGAAAGAACTTAAAGTTAATGACCATGAGTACGTAGTACGTGACAAAGAATCACTGGGGGCTCTATGAGTTGCCAAAAACACCGGTAGAGATGGTAGGATGTACAGAAGGTGCCGTTGTCCCCAACGCCATGACCCTGGCAAGAGGTAGAGCAAATGTTGGAATGACTGAGGGAGATGGGGACATACAAACCAAAGGGAAGACTTTAACATGGGTCCGCCAACCTGGGGCCACTTGAAAGAATCGAGAGGTGGGCCAGTCTACACCGTCAATCGATACTAGATAAAAAATAGAAAATTAGGACAGGCACACTACTTATACAACTAACTGATAGTATATCCTTACTTCTGACAAATACATTGTCACCAGATGAGGAAGTGGTATTCTTTTCAGAGGAGACAAGGCCACAGGCAAGATCATCACGAAGAGAGAAAGAAGAGGAAGGGTGCCTAGCTGAAGACGTCGAAGAGACAGCGACACAGGTATCCCCCGCAACAGAGTTGGCAGCGACTGATTGAGTTTGAGAGAGAAGGGGGGCGTTGGGTGGAGAAGAGGGAATTTCTCCACGAGGAATGTCGCTGAGAGTATCAACGAAGGCTCCACTTGGAGTATGGGAGATGACACCCTTGCAAGTACAGATCAACCGTGTGACTCCCTCAGTTACCTCGGGCTTGAAGATCACCTCCTTACTAGTTTTCTTGCCAATTCGCATAACTGGGAAATAATACCAAACATTGTTATTCAGTTATTAGGAGGCAGGGGATGTGGTGAACTGCCATTTCTTTTAAGCACTGAACAACATACATTCCCAGTAAGGTCACATTTTGTTGTGACCTGCTTCTAGGTGGTGAATGCATTGCCCCTTTGCAAAAAAATAAACCCAGCCTACACAAAACTCGATAAAACAATGATTTCTGTTTGGAAATTTAGGTTTTTACATAGATCGCTAGACAGTTGTAATCAAAAGTTATTTTGATTAGACAATTGAGTTCAAACACTGTCCGATTGGTTGCCATGTTCTCAGTAAGAAGCAATCATATATTGACCACAGTAGCTCTTGTGAATAGATGAACTTACTTAGTATTTAATACTTCGCAATCTTACTGTGATTTACTTTATGATCCGCAACTTTTATGAACCAGAAAGTAAGGAGTCTAAGTATGTGGGGAGAATGGCTCAAAGTGACTTACTTTTCGGTTTCTTTTCCCTAGTAACAACGGCAAGGTTAAGGAACGTGGATGGTTTCTGCTGAAGGAGGCTATAATTAGTAGAAAGAGGACTCTGACTGCAGGGATTACTGAGCCCAACAACCATGGATCTACAGACAGCCTTGAAAGTGATCGGACGAGCAGTCGCCTTTCCATCAGTACTGAGGGAACTCATTCCGCCACCACCGACACCTCCACGATCTTCCAGACTGATGGAATGGACTAGAGAGGAGGAGATTCCACTGCTATTTGAATTGCCAGCACCAGAAGTGGAGGTGGACATTTGGGAGTTTTGGGCCCAATATTCGAGCTGCAGCTCGTAGGTGGGCTTGTCGGATCTGGGTAAATAATTTATAAATTTAGCAAAATTTGGTCTACCAGGAAATTATCCAAAGTGGATTCTCAAAAGGGGACATTTTATTCGTCACCTATTAAGTGGCTTATTGGCTATAATTTGTATGAGTCATTCATCTGCGTTTCACATTCACTAGGGTCACATATGCGGTCGTTATTATTCGCTTCCTTATTAGCTACACATTAAGTACACTCAATTAAACAAAGTTCATAAAGTGCGTGAGTACCTGTATAAACCCATGTGGGTGGTCAGCCTTTAATACATCAATACGTTTGTGCCTGTAATCCCCATATTCAATGCATTCCACGGTAGATATTTTCTTGATACTGGGTTGATTGAGGTTTATAGTGGGGGGGGGGGGATTTGGAAAACTTCTACCGCTTCAGTAAAGACTTACTCAATGGCAGCACTGATTGGAGAGATACTCTGTGAGGAGGGAGAGGGAGTCCAGGCTGATGATCTTGAGGAGGTAAGATGTGGTGCCCCTGGAGGATGGTGATCTCCCCCACCGGTTGCCATGGTGGCGTCGAAGGGTCGAGAAGAATTGGTGGATTGGCGCTGATGCTGATCGGAATGGACAGAATCACGCCCATCAGCTAGGCAACCACGAACGATAGCTTCACTCCCTAAGCGAATGCAAAGTAGGAAAGGGACAAGGGTCTGTTTACTGGATTCCTCTTCCAGACTGCTTCCACCATCTATAAAAAATGAATAGAAGGCAAAACGATTAGACCAATCTCCACACATCGATCTATATCAGACCCAATTCAATTTAAATATAGTAAAACATTTTTGTGGCCTCAGATTTGACCATATTAAAACATTGCATATTCCAAGCAGCATAAGCAATGCTTCATGATAACAAGAGCCTGTAAAACCCTGGTCCCCAGACTGCTCCTTGCTAAATGGAACGGCCATCACACATTCAAACATTCCATAACTATATAAGGTTTGAGATGACCCTCCGCGTTGCATTCGGACTGCAGAAGCACTATATTATCTGGAGGTAGTTCCATAATTGGGCATCCTGACGGTACAAAAGTTTCGTAAGATTTCAAGGGAAGTTTGCGCAAACTTTCCCCACTTAAGACTTTATTGCAGCACATCTTGGCTTTCGGCAAAATCGTAAATGCTGAGAATTTCAAAAAGCGTATTTTAAAGCAAGCTGAACATGTCCGCTTGACTTTTATGATGGCAATTACTAACAAGCTGACCATGTCAAGGCGACTTTTGTGAAAAATAACTGAAGGAGATCCAAAAATAAATAATAGAAAAGTTGAAAAAATGCGAAAGAGATGAAGACTATACACCCAAGGAATGACATCATAACGCATTAATTTTCCAAAAAGAAAAAAAACGAATTAAGCCAAACAACTGAGCACCGACCTTTCGGCCTAAAAATAAATTGATCAAAATGGACAACACATTCGAAAAGCGAATAAGGAAAATGTGCGTGAAAAATGTGAATTTCAAAACAAAGGTTGCAGTCAAGTTGCCGTCTACAACAAATCGGGAGACGTATGACTCGATGATAGCGACAATCGAGTTGAAAGGGTGCTGTCAAGTTGGTAAAATTTGCAAAAGTCCACAATAGTCTAAACAGTCCAAGTTATATGGCGATAAGAGCGTAGTTTCCTATGAAAAAATAAGTAACCATTACATGTTGCCGCAAAATCCTCAATTTAATAAGTCCTAAATATTTTAAATCCGCCCGTTTTTTGTTCAATAAGGCAAAATATAAATGTACCTCAATGAGATGGAGAGATTTCAACTTCAATAACTAGCAAAACGCTTATGTTATCATGATTAAACAAATCTTATCAACCGAATGCTTTTGATACAAAAGTGCACACCCTTACATATTAGGGCGGTAGAAATGTGCATCGGCCCAAAAAACACTAAAAGCACCAACTCTCCACAAAGGAATGTTTCCTTTACAATGGAGTACGTTATCTCATTAGCAGATGTTCCCATGCCCTAACGACCACGTCCTGGAAACGACAAATCCTACCAAGTAGAAGCGCGCACATCGAAAAGATTTTTTAACCACGAAAATAGACAAGACCTAGTAGGGTGTATGCTACAATAGTGCGCGCTGATGGTTGGTTAATATTAACTTGATGCTTAGCTAAATAAGAGTTCTCAGGGGTTCAATGTTCATCAATGCACCTGTGGTGAGCCGAATGGTTATTTTTATTGATTAAGATTGGGATAGAACTCGATTTTCCCAACAGAGGGGCACACACAGCATAATTCAAGACGGGTGTTGATTAAGGTTTTCTAAATTGGCTTGGGGATATTACTGTTATACCACCGTGATAAAAAGAAGATGCTGGTTCGCCAATCCACTCATCTCACTAACCCCAAGATGCAGATTCTTACCTTCTCCCATCCAAGCCGGTAATGTGTTTGTTCTATTCCTAGGGAAACAGCAAAAATTTCAATTCAAGTAAGCGGTGTCTCAGCCCAAACATTAAAATAAAAATAACTTAAAGTTGTAATATTAAGGAGGTTCCTATATCACATTTACAAAACTATTCTTACGACAATACTGCTATTTCCTCCTAAAAGAATGAAAAGGACATAAAGTGGGAGTTAACGTAAGTGACCTTTCATGATTAGCCGCTGAAAAGAGGCCACACGCACATAGTGCTTCACTAGTACTAAATAGAAATCTGCGAAGAATAATACTCGGAAACGCCCCAAAACATCTAGCTCAAACTGAAAAGAGGTCGACGGACATTCCAATGACTTTGAGAAGAAGGCAGATGTGGAATGTGTTCTTGATAAAACGAAAATTTCGCAAATATGTAAAACACAAGAGGGAGGTACAATGGAATCCCTCTTTCAAAATTTTCACTCTATCAGAACTAACCAATGTAGTCAACATTCACGTGATTGGATTATGTTTATGGAGGGAGTGGTACCATATGATTCGTTCATGCCAACGGCCCATTTTTGAAGCGAACTGTAAATTTTTCACAGAAGCAAACATTGTCCCACCTTTCCCCTAAAATTTAAAAATTAAAAGATGCAAAAGACAGGCTTCACACAGCTGCAATTTCACCACCGAAAGAAATAAACCGCGAGGAACAGAAATCACTACGGCAAAAAAGATCCCCTTTCAATTAATTGAAACAATTACGTTGGATTAATAGACAAATGATGATGCATTAATGGAAAGAAGAGCTGACGGTATCATCGAACTTTGGGAGACTTTTAAATCTGTTCTGAACCCTTTAACGACCTTAGGACCACACTATCCTCTTTCAAAATAAACTCCAGTGGTACTAGACTCGTAACAGCTGTTTGAAACGTTCTACACGTCTATAACCTTCGTCTGATACCACAAAAACGACGGTGTCATCTGCTGTGAGACACACGCTAATGCGGTTGGGTGCATTTTCCAAAAAAATAATTAAGGCGTTAAGGAGTTAATTGATTTAAGGGAAAAGAGGCCACCAAACTTCTCCAACGCCGTTTTACTATCTCATGGCTAATCCTCCTTCCTTTTCATTAATGCTACCTCCACATTTCATTTGCACATTGGCTGGAAAGAAGATATAATGAAGGCAGAGCACAAATCTACAGTTTCGCATGGAAACAAGTTGCGTGAATTAGTGGTTGCACAGAGAGAACGAGAATCAGGTAACTGAAAGTTCACCGAAACAACCAACATCTAGCACAAGAAAGTATTTGATAACTAAAACAAGGAAATTGCAATTTGCCCTTGAACTTTCGGTGCAACAAAATGTCCACTATTTCTCAACCGAGGTTCACATGTTTAGATATTTCAAGCCCCATTATAAACAAAATATACTCCTTCTTCAGGTTACGAGGCGGGGAAAAAGTGAACTCTGCCTGATCTTTTTCACAGATAGAGTATTCGAAATGGGAAAGAAGCGTCACCATAACATGTGACTGATCGTAATATGTCCTATAAAAATGATTTCTGCAAGGAGACTACATGACGGAGGCTAAGAGCCAAGAAGTCACTACAGTAACTTCTATCTTAATCCCAAATGGGAATAAAAATGTGCGTTGTGGGCAGAGAAGGCAGGTTATGATTAAAATCGTGACGATGAGCTCAGTTTAGTGAGGCAGAATAAACTCATTTCTTTTTCACGTTATTCTCCAATTCGCTTAGCTTCCTCTTCTCCCCAAATGAAGGCCAAAAATATGGAATCTAAAATTAGGCAGAGAGGGTGAAGAGCACTCGTTCCGAATTGTTTTCACAAAAAAGAGGACAAAATAAAAGAAGACATGAAGCAGTAATGTACACAAACCATGGATCAAAACTCGGATGCATAAATGCTCGGGAATCCTATGTTATTCAGAATCAAAGGACTTAGAATTGACCTATTGATTAGTTTTGATGATGTTGAATACCGTCTTCGGTACAGAGAAAGCATTACTCACCACGTAGTCAGTACCCAACATCCCAATTACTTACTCGGTGTTAAATTAGCTATGTCAGCATTGCAAGACTTCCATGATAATCCAGTTAAGATTCAAATATTATCTCATCCCAGCTATTGAATGTTTTGTCAGCATCCCGACGAACTATACTGTTCCAACCTCCAGGTGCCCAACTTAACCACGGTTGCTAATGTACGAGATGTGTAAAAATGAACAGCGACACACCTCTTCTTCAAATAACCATAGATGACAAAATAAGGTAAAAGTAGCACAAGATATAAATCATGTCGAATGCGATTAGCCGTAAGCCTGAAAATAGCCATACTGCAAGAGGGAATAAAAAGATATATATATCTCCCCCCGAGTCACGGTGAACTTCAAGACAAGAGCTACGAGGGCTAGGTAACCTGTCACATAAAATATTAAGCAGACACAGCAACCTTAAGGCTAATTGGTGGAGCAGGCTGACAGAAGAGGACCAAATGACAACAAACCGAGGAATGAGTCATGAGCTGGACGAGGGAAGGCATAAAATTTGTTTGAGTCGGTAAAGCGAATAAGATAACAGCAAAACCATAGTGCGAGGTAAAGTCACTACAATGGGTGATAAAAAATAGACACGAAAGCAGTGAAAGATGGACGGAGGAAGGCTTATTGACCGATGGCCCGAGCATTTCACCAAGGCATTTCTTCTCCAAAAATAATGGACAAAAATACTAGATGATCAAAGTCCACAGCCTTCATCCAATTATGGCACTAAATAATATGCTTGAGACAGCTTATGGTAACAAGCTTAAATAGTCAAATAGCTGTACTCAGCTTCTGCAACGCCTCCATATTATGTTACATGCAGATTTGTATAATAAAAGAAACTTGATTAACAGTATGTACCGCTTATAATTAGACATAAAATTTAATCTGTAATGCTGGAGAATCAATGAGATTTCATTCTTGGATGAATTAAAACAGACTAGGACCGCAAAACACTTAGATCTAAAGATATCATGGAGCATATGTGCCCAGAATAAATAACAGCGTGTTTTGGCCTACAAAATCACTAGGAGTAGTTTGTATCTAAAGCACTTGCGTACCACTGTGTCAATATCGGCTTGTACATTAAAGTAATTATACTATGAAGATAGAGAGCAATCGACAGATGGTTGTCTTCGATAAATTTAGGGAAGATTTTTTTCTTAGTCATTTGCTCAATAATATTTTCCTTCTATTTGGCCATAGCAAACGAGAAAATGCTCACCAACACTGGCCGTTCCCATTGGCAATGGAGGATTGAAAGTCAGAGGCAACTGATTCGTGGCAGATGAAGGACCAAACATTCCAGCCCCACCCAGGAGGGGAAGGTTATTTCTCACTCCAGCGACTAGACATTCTCCAATGGGCAGGGCCAGAAGACATTCTGCAGAGGTCAAGTAGGTCACAACTCGCCTAACGAACTCGTTTTCCTCCTTCTTTGAAGTTGACGGCCGTCTTCCACGAGCAGGTGTGCTGGAATTAGAACCACCTAAAGAACCTTCTACGGATACATCCGTTGCTAGTCGATGGAAAAGACGGGAGTAGCGGGAGTCAAAGGCGCACATACGTTGGGCAATGAGATTAGAAAGAGGAGCATGTCGATAATGCGGGCTAGTTGGGGGATGAGATTCTCGAGGCATTGAGGGAGATCCTGGATAAGACGGTCTGACAATGTCTGCAGGGATATGAAAAACTTTACACTAACAGCGTTACCAATAAGTAGAAAGCGAGGGTGGAAATTGTACCAGAAGTTAATGAAGATAGAGGAGGCAGTGTGGAAGAACTCGACCTTCTGTGCCTACATCCAGCAAGATGTTGGATATGACCCTTTTGTGTATCCTGTCTAGAGTAGCAAGAACAGTAGCATGACTGAACCAGTCCCGAGACTGGAACAAGGTAGAACCGAAATGCAGCAGCAACAGCTTCCGAACGAGATCCCGCCACTTCGACGAAGGCTCGAAGGACAGCGTTGAGAAGAGCGTCACCACCGACTATACAGAAACGGATGGCTTCAACTTGACGGTGCATTTGAGCCCAGGAGACAAGACCAGAGAGGACTTGGCGCACCTCAGTGAAAGAGGAGACTCGAGCGAGTTTTGTACAACCAGCTTGAGTGAGAGCCACGGCTGCAATCTAAAAGGATACGCATGCATTGAAGATACACACATTTTGGACATTTTAATTTTGAATAGGTAATATTGGACAGAAACAAAACAGGAAATAAATAGATTTCTTTTGCATAAAATCTATTATTCCTTATTGCCAGGATAATTAGTGTATATACGGAGCAAAATTAGTGCACCAGCCAACTAATTCGGATCTAAGATCCAAATTAATCAATTAAGTTAACTCATCGGCCAGTTATCGTTGAAATAGCCAAGATCGAACCCATTTAGAAAGCTGGGGTAAAATCCTGACATTAGAAATTTGTGATAAAAGAACGCGATACAATAAACCATACCGTTAAAGAAGAGCCGCCACAATAAATATGAAATCCAATCAAACACATTTTGTCTTTTTTTATACATCATTTCACTTCAACAATTTTCATTCTTTATCATTCATTTGACTACTTTAATTCTTCCTTTGCTCGAATGCATTCCTCATGATTGAATAACTTTTATCACAAGCGGGAGAGAATTCTAAACTCTTAAGCCTGCATCACTTTCCTTGCCAACCGTAATTATATTTAATCAATCTCTTTCCTATTGGATGAGAGCTTATCTAAGGCAAAGATTCTTAAGTGAAATAAGCGTTCTCGGTATTGTTGGAAATATTTTCTGCATAATCATTGTGCTGTGCGAAATATATTTACTTACAGATATTTCTCGGCATGATAGTATTAATATTAGGTTGGCAACTAAGTCATTGCCGATTTCAAATAAGAAGGCAAATTCGGAATTTATGTTTAAAAATACAACTTTATTCAATTAGATATTGGCCGTTCTTGTCGATGACCTTCTTCCATCGTTCTGGCAGAGTAAAAATTCCCCGTTCGTAAAATGTCTGGTCTTTGCTATTAAAAAACTGAATTAGGTGTGATCCGACATCATCCGCGTTGTTAACAATTTTACCATTTAAAGAGTTTTGCATGGAACGAAACAAATGGTAATCCGAAGGCGCAAGGTCAGGGCTATATGGTGGGTGTGACAAAACATCCCAACCCAGTTCCAATCATTTTTACCGAGTAACCAAAGATGTGTGGGGCCTTGCGTTATCATGATGGAAAACAACACCCTTCCGATTTGATAATGCCGCCCGCTTATCTTCAATTGCATCCTTCAGTTTTTCCAGTTGTTCAACATACACATTTGAATTTATCGTTTGGTTCTGCGGCATGAGTTCAAAATACAAAATTCCTTTGTGATCCCACCACACTGACAGCATAATCTTTTTTGGTGAATCTCTGCTTTTAATACTGTTTCGGCTGGTTGATCTTGCTTCACCCATGATCTCTTGCGAGTAACATTGTTATAAACTATCCACTTTTCGTCGCCAGTAACTAGGTTCTTCAGAAATGGATCATTCTCATTCTCATTGCGTTTCAGTAGCGGCGAATCACAGATGCTAATCCGTTGCGTCAAATGAATTTCCTTTAACTGGTGAGGGATCCATCAATCAAGTTTCTTGACATAACCAAGGGTTTTTCATTTTTTTCAATGCATGTATGCGACACATTGAGCAGCTTCTCTGCAATATCTCGTGTTGTGCTGTGAAGGTTTGAATCGATAATGGCCTTGATATGGGTTTCATCCACTTCGACTGGGCGGCCAGATCGTTGTGAATTTTTCAGTGAAAAATCACCGGAACGAAATCTTTCAAACCAATTTCGACACTGCCTTTCTTTTAAGGCTTCATCTCCATATACGCCACATAACTTCTTTTGTGCTTGCGATGCGTTCTTGCCTTTTCGGAAGTAATACAATAAAATGTGTCGGAAGTGCACGTCCTGTTCTTTCATTTTTAAATTGGGATAAAAACAAAACTAAAGAACTAAACAAAAAACACTTTTTACTAATTAACCTAGAAGCCCATACGGTAAGAAAAAAATATAGGTTAGATGCTCTGGCCACGTTAACAAAACAAAAGAAAGTATAGAGTGAATCTGTCAACAAAAACGGCAATGACTTAGTTGCCCACCCAATATTTTCGAATCGACAAGTTTATCAAAAGTCCTTAGAAGGCCTTAATTATGAGGAGACCCCACCACCTTATTTTCATCCCTATCTGCAGAGTGCGATTGCTTTTACTATTATAAGTATTCAAAGTGTAATCTTCCCCTGGTCGTACACAAATGATCCTTTGTTTCTACTGAACACCTACCAGGCTCCACTCCAATTCATACCCTTTTATTGCGCAACGCCATCTATCTCTTTTCGTAGTATTACCGAAACCCCTGCATTATTTCTAGCACCTTTGGGCTTTGAACTTATAATTAACTTAGTGTTTAAGCCCTAAATTTAAGCTAAATTCAATTAAATGTAATTAGCTTAAGAGTTTTCATTAAACATAAACGACAATAGAGATAGTATTGAAAATGAAAGGAAGTGATATGGTGCAATCCAAGACGAAAATGACTAAAGTCGACAAAGCATATATCACTAACATAGCTCACTCACCTTTCCACCGGGTTCCAGATTATTGACCACGAATTGGACGTCGGCCAAGGATTCAGGAAAAACGGGCATATCGGAATGAGCAAGCGGATCAGTAGATTCCTCGTCAACTATTTCCTAAAATTAAGATAACAATGCAATGTAATATTTTGTCGACGAAAACAATGAACGCGAATTGAAGTGAACGCATTTACTTGTTTTAAACAATATTAAAATTGATAATGGGTAACTATATCACAGATATCCAGTGGTCTACAACCGATTTTAGTCAGCTGTGTAGATTTTTTTGTAGGTTGAAAAGAATTAAACCACCTTGTTATTAAAAATGACAGTTCAATTTATTCTGAAACATGAATTTAATACTACGTTGAATTTTCGCACAATTAAAATAGTTCTAATTAAAAGAAATAATGTTCTAAAAAATATATAACTTAAACAAATCAAATTCTACTGAAAATTTTAATTCACCAAGGGAACAATTTTTTTTTCATACCTGTGAAGATAAACAAAGAATTATGGCCCTAGCTTTGACACCGTTAGGAGGAATGAAATATTTATTTAAACAAAGGTGGGTGAACAACTTTCCAAATGCTGCTTTGCTTCGAATAAAAAATTGTGGAAAAGTTAAGAAATAAAATTTGCATTTTTTAATAGTGTCTAACTTGTTTGCAGAACTAAGTGCATTAAGAAATTAACTATGCAAAAATGTAATTCATAGGCATACAATAAAAAGAAATATTCAATGTAACACTGTTCCGATTAATGGACTGATGAAAGCTGTCTTGACTCCAAAGTAGTGGCTCGCCACCCACCTCTAGCCCCTCAGTAAAGGGAAACTTTTTTTAATAAAAGCGTGTCACTTTATTTTCCAACTCAAATGTTACATAGTAAAAAACTTTTTCCTACCTATTTCCCAACTCTAACCCACAAATTTTCAAGCACTCACAAATTCAAAAGTAAGGAAGCGTTAAAAATAACTTTCCATAAAGTACAACTGCCACACTTCAGTCTCAGAAAAACAACAAACCGTTACTTAAGAACTCTCTCTAAATAGGTGAGAAAGCGAATTTGCAACTTATTATGAGAAAGACTACCTAATCGCAGAATTTTCGCTTGTAAGAGTTTTGAGTATAGGAAAATCTAATTATAGAACTAATAACACCTCCCAAAGTTTAAATTCATACATCAGGACAACAAACATCAGAAGGTGAAATTTAAAACTAGTAAACAGAAAACCGTGATATAAAGTAAGCTAGACAATAGACCGTGGAAACATAATCACTCAGCGTGAGACACCTTGACACTAAAAATCTACAATATCTAAGTAAGTAGTTCAAGAATTTGCCTGATTTGAGCAGGTGATTCGTTATCGAAGTGTTTAATAAAGAAATGACGACTAAACAAAACGCTACCAGTGAAACAACTTCAACGTGGGACACGCACTTGCGGTAGTGGGCTCGCATAGGAAATTAGACTGCTGACGTGAGCGGATTTGATAACTTGACAAGTTAGAAGTCATTCAATGTATAGGAAAATAGAAATATATACTTTTCTACTTCTTCATAAATGTTAGGTGGCAGACTTCCCCAGAAGGGAACAGAAAATTCGGAAAAAAAACAAAAAGAGCAGAAACTAAAACCGTATAATTATTAGCCACTAGAGATAAATTCGACCAAAGAGCACACGACTATTGAAACTGGCTTTTGTCCAAAATATTTCCGACATCATAAAGGACTGCAAAATTGTATTTAACCGTTTTAATTGTAAAAAAAACTATTGTAGCAAGAGCAAAAAAGACGTTTATCAGAAGTCGTCAACTCCTGTCATTAGGCAATAATAGTGATTGGTCCAGAAGGTGAGAAGAGGGAAGTAGGCAGAAAGCTGCACAGCGCTACTTCACTGCCGATTTACAGAGTACGACTACCGCGCGTTCATTCGCCTCAAGAATAAAAACAAGGTGCAGAAAGCCCGTGGAATATGTTCGCTTGTCTGATTTACAGGAAAACATAAATTTCTTTCTACTGCTCTGCCATTTTGCTCAAGTACATCAAAAAGACCGAAAGTAAGATTAATTAACATAGGAAGTCTACTTTCACATTAAACTAGACTAGTGCCAATGAATTTTAAATTCTTACTTAATACACAATCATCAAGGCGATGATCAAGAAAAGGAACAAACGGATAAAACATTTCATGAGGGTAGTAGTTATGTGGGAATTCGTAAACGAAACAGAACTACTCAAGGTGCTTGAAGTGTAGATACACAAAACAACAGGAACCCTCCCAACAATAACGCATAACAAAATCAATCATCCATAGAAATGAAATTCTACAAACATTGATCAATTATAACCAAGAGGACAGTGGAATATCGGCCAGCAATTGCGTTCCCAAAGAGATACGTTGAATATCACCATTCAATCATCGGGACTTCCTTCTGTTAGAATTAATTTCTTTTGCTCTACTGAAAACTCAAATATGTGAATAAAAAGAAAATCAAAAGTAAATGCTGTGAATTTTTTGTGAACAACAACCGCTTTTAGAGTCCTCAACTTTCCAAAAATGAAAGGCTTCTTTTAGCAAAATTCAAACTCTATAGAAGCCTGTACTTTTCAAGACCGAAATCATCAAATTAAATATTTAATTAAAGATTTTCCGATTCCCAACTTAGATATGAATTCAAGTAACTAGATTTGAAAAATTTGGCAAAAAATAAAGTTGAACATTGGATGAAAGCTAAACCGATATTCAAAGCCTATAGGATTATAATTTGGAACAAAAGAGACCTTTTCTGTCAAGCAGACAAAGTGCATATACCGGCTTTTCCGTCGTAAAAAATAAGTAAGACGATTTGTCAAGTTGGGTTCTTTTCGGAATTTTAAAAATTACTTATTATACCATAAAAAGGAAACCAATGACAATATTCCAAGTTTCAAAACAGCTTCAACCCAATACACCCTGCCTAACAGAATCTTTATGGTTTTTTCGACTTAAGAAATAGGATAGAGAAGCCTGTCGTTCAGTTCCGGTACCTGATAGATCGACAATGAAAAGAAAAATTAATAATTATCATGCCTAGGTGAACCACGGTATTTTTTGTTTCCATTTGGTCTAATTATAGAAAAATTACGCTTAAGCAGCTTGTCGAGAATAATTCCCTTTTATAAATCACTTCCGATGAGGCCTATCAGAAAGAAAATAAGCAAAAGCAAAGACTAACAAATTTTGAATGTTGAGTGAAACATAAAAGTGATTACGGAGAGGAAAAAACGCTATGGAATACAATGTGCAAGTTCATATACCCTTCAAAATGATGCTGAAAAGGCAACACACATTCTTAGGAGTAATCAACACCCATCTTAATAACCAGATAGCGCCAATTCACTATATTCAGAGATGCATTGAGTAAAAGCCCCTAGCCAAACGCTGAAAAATTGACCAGAAAGCACACAATAAAGAGTAGACAAGGAAACAGAGACATTGAAGATTTGGTAGGACAATGGTTGTACAACCGACGACCTCGAGAATGTTTTCAGCTTCTCAAAATAAATAAATGAGGGAATATTTTTGCTTGGAATATTTAATGCCATAGAGAAGCAATAAGAAACTGGGAAAGTGGATATACAGATGCGAAGACCACTTGGATCAAATTCTAGTTAACCTCATATTTAGAGGCCTTAAATCAAGATCTTCGTAGCCGGTGCATAAAAGGATGACTCTAAAGGTGAAAAATGTACTGAAATTCCAAAAATCGCATCATCATTTAACTTACAAACTAGTGGGCGTCCGATTAAGATGTCAGTATTATCACGATGGTGGTGAATCATTTTATTGGACTATCCGTTAGCAATCCACCACCATTACTAGAAATCACACATACCAATCACTATAATCCAATAATATTACCTAGCTAAAAAGGGACCACGTTTTATTTTTACTTTCCTCAGATTTAAGGCAAGAAAGAACGATTAAGTAAGTGGATAGCCTTGAAGTTACATTAGGGTCTATTACTCAAACAACTCTCGTTTTAAATAAGTACGCGATGTCCGGATGCCATAAATCTTAACTTAGGCATCCGATTTCCCCTCTGAAAATATGTGAGAGATCCTCGTAACTATGGGAATTTTGTTCATAAGACACAGCATTCACTATAATGTTGAATGAATAAGAGCCTCAACCAAGATGGGCATGAGACAAAGAACGATCACATCCTCATTTGAATACAAAGGAAGCAAGCATAATTTCATAAACAAGTCTCAAGATAACGAGGCTTTCTTGAATTTTCCCTTTCGAAGCCAACAGGACTCATTAAATAGTCCAATGCCACAAGAGTAGTAGAAGTTTCGTTGGCTTTAAATCAATTTAATCTTCCATAGACCTGCTATTCCATCACGAAGCATCATAGTATATACATTAGGCTCTAATACGGTTACAGGAGCATTTGCATGCAATTCAATGATTGACGTGAAAATGGTAATTAATAAATGTTGAAGGCTTTAGGACAGCTTTAGAGCACCTTATTAGAGAGAATATATATATATATATATATATATATATATAAAGTGATGCGAACTACAACTTTAATATTATCAACTAAACGTACATATTCATACTGTTGTTGTTCCATCTCACTGCCAACCTCCATCAGATCAGAATGCTCATGATTACCATTGAGACAGAGGGATTTCTGTACAACTGCAGGGATAAATGCCGCAGGACTTGTATTCGATGGAGGAGGAATCAAGGACGCAGAGGTGACTTGCCTTCTTTTTGTAGATGGAACTGTTCGACGGGTTTTCATCGGTCCAAAACGGGAGGAGAACTTGCCACTGCCACCGACGCCACCACGACCCCCAGTTGGATGACGGCGTAATTCACCATCTCCGTTGGAGGCCATCTCATTGCTGAGAAATCCAGAGGTTCCAGGAAGTGCTTTTCCCTGTTGTTGGTGTGTTTGTTGGTTTTGAAATTGGCCAAGACTAGAAGGATCCGGCGATAAGAGAGCTTCTCTTTGTAGGCGCCTCAATAGTCGTGCTCCGGCATCCTGCAAAGAACACACATAAGAAAGTTCTAGAAGGTACAATATAAAGGAAAAGGGATGAAATCAAGACTATTTTCATAGAGGATACAGATTTAGGTAGGTCAAAACTTATGAGACACTGAAGAGTAACGGTAAATTCAGTAGTTTCGGGTGGGTATGTCGGATAATCACAGGGTTAAAACTGATTGGATTAAAGTAACAATGAGTAAAAAGTGGATTTAAAGTATACCTGTGAAAAACAAAACAAGTAGAGTAAAATGTTCCTCTTTTTAAAATCTATTTATTCACAAATATTCGTTCGTGAGATTTGGTTAGCATATTGAAAATAGGAGGTGGCATTGCTTATTCCGCAAATAGGGTGAACACTGAAAAAGTTAGTTTCTTATGAACTAAACATTCAAGAGTAAATGAAAACCAATTTATCGAAAAGCACAATTATTTTTCCCAAAGAAGAAGACTTAGGGCCATGCTGAAATATTACTATCAACACTAACTGGCTTAAATGTTAGTGAGTATAATGGATAAAGGGAAAAGTCGTGGAAATAGTCTCAGAAATTCTGTTATCATATTCGAGAAATCTCGTAGAAAAGCATTAGAGATCAGAAGAGTAAGATTTAATAGGAGTGTGGTGACTATGGACGTTATTCCAACAAAAGGTCACCTTAGGGCACATGCCAATAACGGTATCTGCCTCATATTGTGTTGGGTATGTAAATATTGTTGATAAACCTAGCTTATTACTCTCTAGTTGAATATACAGAGACGAAACAATGGAAACGAATCAGAAGAGAGCTACGAAAATTTCTCTCCAAATTGGGACTAGTACCTACGAAAATAGTAGAAGCGACTTTGAGCCAAGATGTATCTTCCAAAATCAATAAAACGCAAATTCATGCAATAGCAGACTTTAAATTTCGTTGGATTAAAAGCGATCTTAGGACTAGTTGCATTATGCAGCTTTTGGCCGGGCAGTGAATAGGAAAAAAGGATTATAAAATATGGCCCATTTTTCCCTCATAAAAAACGAGCATTCAATGTGTACCAAAAAAGAGGACTGATGAATGCATTGCTATCCTTTTTGAAAAGCGCTTAAAGGCACTTGGGTATGAATGAAACGAAGTTATGCAAAAGATGTTATCTGAAAAGAGATTTGTCATTCATTAAATAGCTATTTAGTTTAATTAGTATAAAAATAAATTCGGCTAGCATATTCTATTTATGATAATTATAAAGAATAAAATAAAAGAAATGATAGGACGCAATTGATAGAAAAAGACGATTGTGGAAGGGTTGGATGGCTTCAGTGAAAGCCACGGGAAGCGTCCATTATGCTCTACTTTCATTAATTCAATTAATCTTATTAATGTCACTAAGGTTAACATAATTAAACATGGCCACACGTCCCCAATTTAATTCAGAAACATCTGACTACTTAAAACTTATTCGTTTCAACAAGAAGTAAAAAAGGATGTGTCATTAAGAATCTCTAAGACGAGGTAGACAATAATTTAATTCCGAAAAGGTAAAAGGAACTCAAAAGTAGGGAACATACGGAGATCAGTAGAATAAGCCGCAATACATCTAATTATAAAATCAGTGTTTCAGAAAAAAACCTTGATACCAGAACTTAGAAAGACGCAGAAATTGGAACATCAACTCAACTTCGCCAAGTTTATTCCCATCAGAGATCGTATCTAATTCTCCCCAATTGAATACATTACCAACTAACAAGAAACAAAGATCGTTTATCTTTGACAGTCACTTTAAACAAGAGATGGATATAATTTCATTCAGTGTAGGAGCTCATATTAAGTTAAAATCTCTACTCCCATTGCATATGCCGACATATCTTGTAAATTAAAACATCCTCATAATAAAAATTTATGCAGATAAGTCTTTTCAGACTTCTCTGTCAAATAACGAAAATATTACACTCCGAAACAGGAGCACGGCATTATTTTTCAAGAATAACATCAACTAAAAACGCGAAAATTTTCACAATTCAACGTTTCTCTCACAATTGCAGAAATAAAACCAAATAACTACTGTCAGAATAAGCCTGCAACACCTTCTGGAAACACTACATGCCATGGGCAAGTACGCCATTTCCCTTCCAAAATGCCATCACAGTCATTTAGCGAGAGGCCATGGATGCATAAACAACAGTAGGAGAGTAATTCACTTGGACCAATCACAACCCGAACCACGTTAACTACCAGGGTTTGGCATGGCTGACATGCCATAACACAATTCGCGCTTGAGTAACTTAAACACGGCCAACGCAAAGAAAACCAATTTATCTAATTTCCTTAAAAGAGAAGATAAAAAATTTTATAGATAACATCCAATTTGGTTTGAAGTTTGAATCATTTCCAATAGGCATGTAGGCGTGATGACTAAGAAATGAAGTGAAAGAATAGTAAAACGTTGACGAAAACACAATCGTACACGCAGCCAAGAGAGCAGGAGACTCCTGGTGGTCTGAAGCAGGCATTTTAAAGCAGATCAAAAGAACAGTTGCTTACACTCAAGAAGGGACGACAAGAAGCGGTTGAAGTAAAATCTGCTTTAATAAACACATCGCGATATTGTTACAGGATACAAAACAATAACTCCGATGTGAACATGCCGATTAGATCCAGATATTAGATCCGCTGAAAATCATTTCCATGGAACTTAGGACACTTTAAGGTCATCCCGAATTAATTTAAAATAAATAATATAGCTAAATAAAAGCAGGGTCATTATATGCACTATTTACACATAGTATCCACGTAATTTTCGATAAAGTATTGGCAAATACATAAACTGGCATTACCGGATCATAATGATAAAATCTAGCGTAAAAAGCCACCCACCACCCCACACTTTCGGATTAGAAGGCTTACAACTTTTCCCAAATCGCTTTAGGGATTGAGATCAAAGATAGCTCTGAGCTACACTCATAAAAAAATTCACATATCAAAGAACGGTAGAGACGGCAGTAAGAAATCGCAGATTCTAAAAAGGGTATTCATTTCGCAGTTGCGAAACTAATACGATTCAATATAATTTATGCAACTTTGCATTGATCGGTTGTGTGGTGCGAAATTAGAATACTTGTTCAGGTGGTCATCGACGTCATTTGAATTTCGAAATCTCCATACATCTGAAAGATGAGTTCTGGCGAATATGAAGGAAGTGGTAAAATCTCCTTGTTTAATTCATGATTTTTGGAAGGCCATTCTTGCTTCATGGAGAATGGGTATTTTCGCGTTGAAGAGTCGTTAATTTCCTCTTTTAATTTTAGATTTAGACCTCATTAGTTCGATGACAACACTAAAAGACGACTATAACCGTCTAAAGAATTATTCCACATTCAGTGTACAGTCCCAAAAAATGCATAGAAGATGGAGGTTTCAGAATGGCCAAGTCTGGCTTGGATTGGAGAAAAAAAAGAGGGTGGTAAATGATTCGGTGCAAAGTGCACGAATTGTCAATTGCCAAGGCAGCAAATCAATAAAAACTATTCTCCGTTCATCTTAGTCATACAAGAAGAGATGATGCAGAGACACCCAGAAACTCATCTAATTCACTTTACCGAAGTACTTCAAGTGCAATTGCACGGTTCACCATGGAGGTGCAAGTTTTTGCGACTATCCTCCCATTACTAGTCTTTGATCTGTTCCAAACAGGCATTTTAATACTTCGTCATTGCCATGTTTAGGTGGTCATGACTTTTTGGACATTAGTTAGATTCCTATTGCCCGAGATAAATATTTCGAAGGAAAACTGTCATCAGCGGCTTCTGAGAACTCGTCCATAAATTTAAGTGCTGGCGTCAGTGTCCTCGAAGGCACTCGATCCCTGATGAAAGAAAAGCAGCATGAAACATTTAACGTTTTGAGTGTCTTCATGGCTTTTGAACATAGTAGCCGAAGCAATAGGAATTAACATGCGCAGTTTCGTACAAATTACTCCACTTTTTAGATGTTGACAGATCCGAAGACGAATGTTGTCACTTAGAAGCAGGTCAAATTAAAATGTGACCTTACTGGGCATGTATATTGTTCAGTGCATGAAAGAAACGGCAGTCTCAAGCTAATTGGCAAGCACTGTGGGTGTTTGAAAGTACACCACATCATCTGCTTCCTAATAACTGAATAACAATGTTTGGTATTATTTCACATTTATGCGAATTGGCAAAAAAACCAGTAAGGAGGTGATTTTCAAGCCCGAGGTAACCGAGGGAGTCACACGGTTGATCGGTACTTGCAAGAGTGTCATCTCCCTACTCCAAGTGGAGCCTTCGTTGATACTCTCAGCGACATTCCTCGTGGAGAAATTCCCTCTTCTCTACCCAACGCCCCCTCCTCTCTCAAACTCAGTCAGCCACTGTTAACATTGTAGAGGAGAGAATTTATTGCTCATTAATAATGTTGGTCAATTTATCTACTAGGAAAAATAAATCACAGGATCGTTTCCTTCACTGCGTCTGGAAACGAACTAGACGCGGTTTCTTATCGCTTTCGCAAGCGCGACAAAAAGTGCATACCTCGAAGAGCCTTTTGCGTGTTCAGTCAATCTAAGACAGATTGCAGATTCGGGTTAGAGGCGATTACATTTTAATTTTGTGGATTTTAATTGCACCATGTAAACAAACTAATTCACGACAAAAGCCTTTTAAAGATTATTGCTAATTTTGGCCAAACAGCGAACAAAGATTTAAAAGTAAATTCAATCCATACCATCCAAATCATAATAACTGATCAGTTTTCTAACATATGATAATATAAAGCTTAAGACACAGTTTGTTGACATGAAAGAACGGTTGTTTATGCACTCCTTTCTTCCAATTTTCCTTTCACACAATCTGAGCTACATAATAGACGCCATTTATTTGAATACCTGCAGTAGACTAGCTTACCAAACTAAGGGTTTCCTCTGAACTGCCAGTATGGCCGAAGAAAGGGCGAATGGAAGGCCTTGGAACACTCTGAAGAGATCCAGACTCCCCAGTTGCTCCAGTATCCAGGTCAGAATCCTCATCAACGTCGGAGACAGTTTCCATCTTATCGATCTCCTCCCAGAGATGCAGAGTTGTACCAGTATCGATTTCCTAAAATTAAGAAACATTATCATTAATTAAATTCAAAACCAGTCTCTTATATGGCACCAAGTTAGATGCTCATTTATATCCCTTAAAATGGTGAGTTAACCATAAAGCAGCTTTAAAGTAGGCATGTATTATATCAACATTTTTTACCATAGGTTTATATTAAGGTTCGATAAGACCTTTCAAATAGTGTACTAGCACGATAATACAATTAGATCTCCTCTACAAGGTCAACTTGCCTTTAAAATGTATACAATTCAATTAAAAAAGATTTATCTTTCCTTCAGAGGAAGCAGATAATTAAAGTACTTGAAAAAATTCCAGTTTAATAAGAGATACTGTTAATATAAGAAAGATGAGCAAGAAGGGTAAAGTTTCGATTTAGATGTCAAGGTCAATTTAAAAATTACAAAATGAACCAGTAGCACTTTAGCCATTATGACTCAGTCGTCTTTACAATGCTTATGAAACCTCAGATGAGTCAAAGAAAAACTGCACCCTTTTAGTCATACCAGCGAACTAACTTCCAAAACGTCTTAGGTACCCCCCCCCCATCTTTATTGCAATTTAATGGTGGTTCGTAAAATCCCACGATTTTCAAACAGAGCTGACCCCAAACAGCTTCTTATTTGCTCGAGCAAATCAATCAGTGATCAGTATATGACTTCTTTGAAGATAAGCAAGATGTTCTCAACCAGCCGCATAGGTAGATCTGGGATGGCATTTAGGCATGGTTTTGGTTCTTTCTTAGCAAAAACATAAACAAGTTTTCGTTTAATTGCAATGCTAACCATAAAATAGGGGGGGGGGGCGTTTCATAAATCGAGATAAGACTTGTACTCCTGGATCACCGCAAGTAGCCGCCTACCAAATAACAATTGTCAAAAAGACAATACCCAAGAACCAAATTGAACAATATCTTACTAAGCTGTGAGCCCAATTAAATTACAAAAAAGAGATATTTTAGCAAAAAAATGAAAGGAGGCTCGAAGCAGCAGCTGTTTAAACAAGGCTCGAGGCTGATAGATAGGTGCCAAGGTAGTTGCTTACGTTTATACGAGAGTGCGGGCCGCCGCCCTTTGGACTTGTGCAAACACGAAAACACCAGAGCATAAAGTACTCAAGGGCCAAAGTTACAAACTTCACAAACTCAATTAGGCCAACAATAAAAAAACGACGCCAACAGCGTGTAACAAAAACAAAAAATGCAAATGTCCACGATTATCGTTGAATTAATAAAAAGTGCAATACTTAGAAGACTATTAAGAGTATAGGTAAGGTATGCTGATACCGATCTATAAGTGAGCACATTTCAATTTCCATAATCAGTCAGACGTGCGACAATGGGAAGCCATCGAGTAGTCCATTGGCTTGATAGACCGATGCGCCATTTCTAATTGTAGAAAATTGAATCTAAGACTACATTAGCTTCAGAGTTAATTGGTCAATCGATGTAGCATTAAAACATCTTCCTTATTATAGCCCTGGTTTAGACCATTATAATTTTACCAATTGGACAAAATAAAATCATACGATATTTTGCTAGGAGCACTGCTAAAATCTGTGAAAAAAACACGAAAGGCATTAAAATCATCAGAAAACCTAGGCGATTTGATAAAACAAAGTACTTCCGAAGCAAATATTCCAATATAGGATCCCTTATGAGTAATCAAGAGTAGGTTTTCATAGACGTATCGTATTTCAACCAAATTATCTGCCACACACTAAAGTACACTGTCAAATATAAATTAGCCTTAAAAAGATTTTATGAGCAAGTTATCTTTAATCTAAAATGCGAGTGCTGAAGTAACAAGATTTACTTCATGTGGCAAGATGATTTCTTCCCAACATTAATTTAAATGTATTTATTAGAAACAAACGGAAAATGTTATATCGTTAATCATCACCAGATACCAGCGCATAGATGAAAGATGATATCTCCTTTTTATTCCCAACCCGATCATCTTAAGTTCGCCAAGTCAGCTATCTAATTCTTTGCACACTTTTTCATTTACTTTATCTGTTTGCACTTTGCCAATTAATCTGATCGTCTCATAGTTGCGAACGCAGTGCCCAATAAATACACATGTCCTCTTTTTCTTAAATTTGTTCAGGCTAAAATAGAGTCGTTAGTCATCCACTTTCCCACTCCTGGCTTCATTAGAGTTCAATGTCCAATTAGTCACCTAATTGCTTCACTCCTCATAGTTTAATCTTCAAGTAGAAGAAGTTGACAGAGCTAACAATGCACTCTCACCCCGACAATTATGCTGGATTCACCAGTCTTGGGTACATAAACACCCAAAACCACAGCCTCCACTTTTGTTCCTACAGAGCGTACCTCTATCTCGCAGGACACCTGTGTGGGAGCAAATTGGAATTTTAACGAAGGTAGTTAAGAATTGTGGACATCCAGGTGGGCGAAAAGAAGTGATACCAATACGACGTAAGAGAGAACTAAACGACTCAATTCTACACTTTGAACTATTACCGAATCCAAATCTCAGCGATACTCACAACTTAAATCTCTTTACCATTTGATTTACAGCACAAGGTATCCAATTGAAACGAGTAAGTTCATTTTATCAAGACAATGCGAAACTCACTTCATTTGGATCAGCAACTTTGAGTCGTTTGAGAAGACTAACCACTTTCTGTTTGATTTGCTGAAATGAAATAAAAATCAATTAATTTGCTTTCCTCGCACTCTCGAACTAATGACATTTTACAATTTCCACAGTTGCCTAGAGTGAATTCTGTTTTTTGCTAACTTTAATCGTTTTTCTTTAAAAAAGCAACAATGACATTTTAAGAATAAACAAAAGACACTTTTAAATAGAAGGATATTTTCAATGATAATTATTTAATCTTGATTAAAAAATCTATTGATGGAAAGTGTGGCCAGATGATGGAAAGGAAAGATGACTGATGCAAATAGCACCCTTGACTGACAGATGAGGATATTTAGCTGACGGACAAAGAAAGAAAAATAAAGAGAAATCAAGCGTTTAGGGAGAATATAATTCCATGACTTTAGTTGAAAGTACCTTCAAGTTAATCACATTTTAAGAGTTAGGTGTAAAAAGAAGAACAGCAGTGAAAAAACTGCTAATGAAGTATTTTTTATATCTTCCATCAAAGACAATATCAGATAAGTGAGGAAAGTCAAGCAGGTACCTAAAGTAGGACCACAACTCCAAACCATCCAACCTAGTTAGTTGATTTACCTTTTATAGCATTCAGGCGTTTTAAAATTGACTAGCTTTGAAGAAAATGAGTGCTAGTAAAATTCTTAATGATAAGATCAATAAAGGCGATAATATTATCAGATAATTAATATCAATATGCAGGGAACTAGAAATTACTCAGATCCGGAGACCTACTTGCCCTCCGTTGTATCTTTATGCCTATTACTTCATACGCAATCGTTGTCGAATAAATGCCGTGAAATCAGAAGACCTCTCTCTCTACATGCATTTTGAAGAACCTTTGCAAAAAATAATTCCAATGTCAGGTTCGCAGTTTAGACACGAAACGTAAACTCCTCCAACCCCTATCTCACCCCTTTTTGTAAACGTAAAATACAAAATCGGTCTGCCTTAATTCACATTCCTCTGAGTTGTTCTCCTCAATTTATAATACAAAATAGTGGATTTACTTAGAATTAGTGTCCCTCTAGATCATTTGCATATTGATATGCCATTAAAGCCCAGTCTCGCTAAAGAGAGTTGTTTCAACAACGAGAAGTTTGGAGTCATGGGATCTCTTAAATAAGAAGATCTGCTACTTTTCTCTAGCCCCATTACCCTAAAAACACTTAAAAGACTGATACTGCCCCTTCATTGATTTTACACTTATGAATATCAAAGCTTTGACAAGAAGCATTGGCGACATGTGAGCTAATCGCCACGACGATAAAAAAGTATGTTACAACGATAACCTTACCAATAATTGAAAATTTCACCTTTGGATGAATTTATCAACAACTTTTTGCCTTGAAAAAAATAAGAAAAAGCTGGCAGATGAAATACTGAGGAAAGGAGCTTTGCAGACTAGCTCCTAAGTACTTAAAACCACAAACATACGCACTTTATTTAAATTAATCTAATTACAATTTAAATTTCAGATGAGAAGATAAATTTAAGGGACCAAGTAAACCATTAGAGTTGAATTTTACAGACACTAATCGAGTTTCACTTACGAAAACAAAATGAAAATTTCACTTATTTAAAAATAGATGTATACTTAAACTCAACTACAAATGCATAAAATGCTTAATCGACAACGCCAACTTAAATTAACTTATTCACTGTAATGAAGTAGGATTTTGGGAAAATATTCCCCCAAGTTTCCCAATAATAATTAAAATTCACAAAGCTATAAAATTTTTGAAATTTAATATTTCAAGGAAAACTGTAAGTAACTTTGCCATCAATTTGAGAAAACAAATTAATCGGCTTGCTTCAAGAAGGCCGTTAGCGAAAGTATGAAAATAATGTAGAAATCGAGGAAAGGCATCAGATGTCGATACCACTCGTGGACTACAATTGGATTTCCAAATCTGCAGCCGAGCTGTCATTCCCAATAATAAGAGGGAAAACAGAGATTGGTTACAAACATGTCCTTTAGCCTGAGGCAAGAGGGACAAAACATGGTAATCTTGTTTGCTTATTTCTAGCCTTTTTCCGGTTTAGCTTCTTATCCATGTCAGGGTCAAAACAATAAACAGAAGACTGGACGACTCAGCCGAAACTTATGACAAAGTTGGGAAGTTGAAAAAAGCCAAATGAAGTTGTTTCCGAAAAATGGATTCAGTGGACTCATGCTTTAAATCCTCTTTATGCATGACTAAAAAACAGCATTCGGGTTGTTAATTGTGTCGGTACATCAAAAGCATCAGCCTATAAACTCCATGAGTATCAGATATGATCATTCTCTCCTTTAATTGAGCAGCCAACGCCGACAATATGCCTACGCTGGTGCACTATACCATCCTCACACTCACCTGCCATGTTGTTTTACTTTTTAATGTTTTTTTAAGAACTTGCAATACACTATTAATTTTAGATTGTAATCGTGCAGATAAAACGAGCATCGATTGGTAAAATCAACGCTTCAAGAGAAACAATTACGGAGGGATTGGAAGTAAAACTCTCTGGCTAAACGATACCGCATATCCTTCTGAAAGGATGTAACATACTACAACTCTCAGCTTAACGCGTTTAACTTGCAGCTTAAACACACCTACTTAAAAGAGCATTAAAGGGGCAGACTACTCTAGTTAATCCCCAATTAAACGAATTTCAAGCATTTCCATAACGACTGTTCTCGAATATTAAACAAGTCCCAGACCTGGATACAAATTCATTCTGCGTACGTAAATAAGCGCCTAACGGCCAATTTCCTAAATCCCGATCCCCACCATCAAATATCCTCCTCCACTTGGTTGCTAGAACTTGTGGCGATGTGCTAAAACGTCTAATTTGCATTATCACACTTTTAATAGTAGTATTTATGACAGAGTTGGTGGAAATGACTATCAACTTGTGCCAATTTAAAGAAATGTAAATTGTAACGCATGGAGGGAGAGGTTAATTGCGATTTTTCTTGAGATCCAAATACTTTATCCACGACTATAAACAAAAAATGTTCCATAAAAGAGATTTATGGAATGTATCAGCATTATATGGTCCCTTCTGTAAAGCAAAAGAAAAGTATGAAGGAGTTTAAAAGAATAATTATCCAAAATGTCAACTCCTTGAAAGTAATCGAAAAAAATTTCGCCTATACCCATTAAGAAAAGCTAAAGCAGCCAAAAATCCACACAACCCTTTCAAAATTTCTAGCCCGATCAATTTATTTATTTATTTATATCAAATGGCAGGCGTCTTGATGGTTATCATTACCCCTTTAGTTGACTTCAGGCTTCACAGAGGAGGAGGAACATCAAAGTGAAAAAAAGTCGAGAGGGGGAGGGGGAGGGGAACAGAAGAGAGTTTCAAAGATGTAAAAGAGACAGACACA